CAAAAATAATTTTAAATTATTAAAAAAAATTACAAGTATTTATAATTTTTTTTATTAATCTATAAATATTTTAAATATCACTGATGTATAATTTTCTCAACAAGTTATTGGGCCATGACTATTCAACCTTCACTTATAATTTCCCACTTCCTAATCAGCTGTCTCTTTGCAAATAAAAATAAATGAATAAATAAATAAAAGGAAATAAGGTATCATATATATATATATATATATATATATATATTATTAAAAGTAGCATTTTTTTCATGCGTAAGTGACACATTATAAGGATTTACTTTTTTTTAAAAGAGTTACGTCAACATGTATTTTCTTAATTACATATAAAATTCTACACAAACCCAAATCTTATTTAAATTATACTAATTTTACCTATTTTATAGGGGCACTTTTTTATAAATTCATTTTCACCTACTTATGTTTTCCATTTAGTCCACATTATTTTCTTATATTTCAATAAGTACTATGGGTGATATAGTTACCAAAATACCCCTAATAATCACTACAAGAAAATACATTTTTGGCGACCCGTTTTGGCTACCAAAACAAATTTAGTCGCCAAAAGTGTGGGAATTGGCTACCAAAATTAATTTTGGTTGGCAAAAGTCAACTTTTTAGCTACTAATTTTTTTTAGTAGGGGAATGTTGATTATTCGCGACTAAAATAAATTTAGTAGCTAAAAATATTACAATTGGCCACTAAAAAAATTTTTAGTAGCTAAACATATCTCCATTAGCGACTAAAAGTACTTTTAGTAGCTGTAGAGGCACCTTTAGCTCCTAAATTGTTTGGTAGCCGAAGGAAAATAAAAAAAATTATTTTTGATCTTTGGCGACCAAAAGTTTGGTCGCCAAAAATATCTTTTCAGCGACAAAATTCATTGTAGACCTACTTTTGCCTACTAAATTGTTTGGTAGCCGAATGAAAATAAAAAAATTTATTTTTGATCTTTGGCGACCAAAAGTTTGGTCGCCAAAAATATCTTTTCAGCGACAAAATTCATTGTAGACCTACTTTTGCCTACTAAATTGTTTGGTAGCCGAATGACAATAAAAAAATTTATTTTCGATCTTTGGCAACCAAAATTTTGGTCGCCAAAAATGATTAAACAAAATAGTTATTTTATTTTTATTTTTATGGAAAGGCTGTCAAATCTTAACAACGTTGTTCATAAACATTGTTAACAATGACATTTTATCCACTTGAAATTTGACTTTCTCTTTTTTTCAAATGAGAAAAATAAAATTGAAAGAAACTTCTTTTTTAAAAATAAAAATAAAAATGAAAATGAAACATGCTTATTAATTAAATAAAAATAAATTCCCATTAGTAGTAGGTATATGAATAAAACAATCAGATTTATTGAATTAAGTGGTAAAAGCCAGTTGGCTTTATTAATATTTTAAATTTTATTTTTGTATCACATGAACCATTGGGCAACATTTAAAAAAATCACCTATTTTTTCAAAAATTTTTGTCCTTTCGTAATTTTATTTTAATTTTTTTTTTCAATTCATTTTACTGAGCCGAATCTAAGAAATATATATATTTTTAAAATTTTTTAAAAATTCAAAATTCAAAATAAGCAACAAATATTTACATTTTTTTTGTTAATTTTTATCTTTATTGATTTTTTTTAAAATTTCAGAAAAAAATTATAATTTTTCGATTTGTTTTGTCGAATGAAAATGAAAAATAAAAAAATATGTTTTTTACCTTTGGCGACCAAAATTTTGGTAGCAAAAAGTTTGTTTTCAGCGACAAAATTATGGTTGGGGATAACCTTAAAGATGATGTGAGTTCTGCTCTATTTCTCTCTCCATCATTTGCACCATATTTGTTAAGAATATTTCTGATTCATTTTGAGGTGTTGTTTTTGTATATATATTTTTTTAATTTCACATTCTTTTATCAAATTTGTTTGAATCAAAACATGCTTTTGTGTAAATTAAAGCTCCTTTACTTGGTCTTCGCAGGTTGCTTGTGGGAAACGAGCGGGAGCATTTACATGCTTGCTTGACAAAACAGGGAGGTATGATTCTCCCGAATACACAGATGTGGAATTTCAGCCAGATTACAACGTGTCTTATCTTGCCCATGTTCATTCACTACTGGAAGCAAATTTTGACCTGACACCATGATCCACAATTTCCTTGACAATAAAAATTTGCATTGTTAAATTGAGTAGCATTGAGATTCTCAGACCATTTATTAGTTGGTGGATACACCTATTTTTGATCTTGTGAAGAATTCATAGGAAAAGCTTTGTGAAGTACGGAGACAGGAAAATACCAAGGAAATATTGTGTATTTGAAAGACAGAGATCTGTCTTTAGTTTAGCATCTTATGGTAGTGTTGATATGCTGCAGAGTCATCCAATATATAGGTTTCCTTGCCAAAGTACTCTTGGATAGATTTCCTGCACATCTTTGTTTGTTGTTATCATTGTATTATGAGGCTAGCTGTTAATGCTTTGTTTGTGGGATGTAAGATTGTTGTTGTATATCTATATGTAATACTTTTGACCCATTTTATAATGCGATTTCTTTCTCCCTTTGGTGCAATGCAATGCATATTTTAAAATTACAATGAAGTTTATATGTTTATTTTTGACTAAATGATGAAATAATGTGGCTACGATTATTTTGATTCTTTTATGTTTGATTTATGATTTATACGTAGGGATTTACAAAATGAACAATTTAGATCACTTGAGTGAGACTTGAGGTGAGGCTTATAGCAAGACTGCATGTCTGATCCACTTTTATAGACTAGAGGCAATCCTGATGATAATTGACCTTAATTTTGATGATGACAGTTTGAATTAAAGAAGATAATAAGTCAATTTTCTTTAATCTCAAATATTCTTATATTTCAAGTCACTCCGTCCGTTGCACCACCACAGAACTTAGGCACAATGCAGTGTCTTGATTACATAAAATATTCAAAATCTGTAAAATTAGTGTCTCCCTTTATCGCTAGAAAGAGTTCACGCAGCATTTCATAAATCCTCTCAGAACAAGGGTGGATTTTATCAGCAACATAACAGCTGTGAGTTTCGCTATTAATATATCTCTGCAAATGTGTGTGTATATGTATGAGGAATTTGGGGATCCTAGAGAAGAGAAATAAGAAGAAAAATGAAAATCATGCGTCTCTGGAAATGTGTATATATATATATATGTATATATCAGTCGATCTATGTATTGGAGAGAAGTGAATTATAGAGTTGGGAAGAGAAAAGCAGACAAGATCTTGATCACAGTTGACCGTTTCAAATGAGATAAAAAAATTACTAACAAATGAATGAAAACATTTTTGGAATAACAACTCATATGAGAAAAATAAATATTAAAGAGCTGTTTGAGATTTGCTTATTTAGTGTATTTTTTAATTTTTTTTATAAAAAAATGTGTAGAAAAATAGAAAAGGGATGAGACATAAATAATTATACTCATCAAATAAGTGGAATTATTTAGATTATTCCTGAACAGGAGGGTTTTTGAATCTTCAATATATTATTTAGTATACTAAGACATTTGAACAGTTCAGATCTGTTCAAATTACAAAACGGCTGTGATGTATGCTATGTGTACGTTTTTCATTTTCCCATTTTTTTTTTCTTACTTTTTCTTTTTCTCTTTCTCACCCACCTTTCCCATCCCATGATTCCACATTCTTCATTTTCTTTTTTTTATTTTATTTCCCCCTTTCCTTTTTTTCCTCCCTGTTTATTTATTTATTCACTTATTTTAATTTACATCGTGCCTTCAGGCACGGGCATACACTAGTAAGAATATAAGAGAATATAAGAAAATTTTTAAAATATAAGAATATAAGCAAACATAAGAATATAAAATATAAGAATATAATATTTTAAAATATATCTGTCATAAAATTTTAAAATATAAGAATATAAGAAAATATAAAATATAAGAATATAATATTTTAAAATATATTATTATATTTTTCAGTAAAAAAAATATTAGGACAAATATGTAAGATAATTTAATATTTTTAATTTTTAATTTTATTACTTATATTTTTATTTAAATATAATTTTAATATATTTGTTATGTCACGGTTCGATTTGCTCACCGGTCCGATTTTTAAGACATTGGTTTGAATCTGTATAGAAACTTTGTAACATTTACTTCTATTTTCTTTTAAGATAATAAATTAATATTTTAAATTTTATTTTTGTATCACATGAACCATTGGGCAACATCTAAAAAAACACCTATTTTAAGATAATTCATTTTTTCGAACCGAATCTAAGAAATATATATGTTTTAAAAATTCCAAATAAGCAACAAATATTTACTATTTTTTTGTTAATTTCTATCTTTATTGAATTATTTTTGAAATTTTAGAAAAAAAAATTATGATTTTTCGATTCGTTTTGTCGAATGAAAACGAAAAATAAAAAAAATGTCACGTTTTTACCTTTGGCGACCAAAATTTTGGTAGTCAAAAGTTTGTTTTTGGAAATAATTAGTTTCGGCGACTAATTGGATTTTGGTGGCCAAATAATGCAGTTTCACCGACTATGTTTTCGGTAGCCAAACGTGCCACGAAATTGTGGAGGGAATATTACTTTTTCATAATATATATTAGCGATGAAAATAATTTTTGGTCGGTAATAAATATTTTTTTTCTTCTATTTTCATTGCAAAAGTATCCCAGTTCCCTCCCTTTCGCACTCCCGCCTCTATCACTGCTCTGTCTCCATCGCAAGAGTTGCTGTATCATCCCCCAAACTCCCTCCCAAGTATCTCCCTCTCTCTCTCTGTATCTCCCTCTCCATTTCTTAAACATCTCACAAGGCCTCTCGGTTTCCCTCTTTCTCTCTCTCTCTCTGTTTACACACACACACACACACGAATCATATATTCACAACCTTGATTCCATATATACTCGATTATATACACAAATCATATGTACACTCACGCTTCTGCCCTCTTCTCTACAGGAATAGTCTCCATCGCCTGAACTCCCCCGAACTGGATCATCCCCCGAACTCTCTCCCAGGTATGTTTGAATTTCACATCTGTCTCTCCCTCTCTCTTTATCTCCCTCTCGATTTCCCTCTGTTTCTATATGTCTCTGTTTACACACACACACATACATACATGTATGTATATATATATATGTGTCAAAACACACAGAATATGAAGTACGAAATGCCCTCAATTAGGGCATTGTTATTGAAATGTGATTCAAATTAAAAATTAGGGCAATGCTTGGGGTGAATCAAGCCATTTGCTACATAAACTAGGGCAAAGTCTTGTAGTAGTAGTACATATAAAAGAGGAATTTTTATGGTTTTGAGTAAATATACTAGCTGCTCGTTGAGGTACTTAATACATACCTACTGTTCTTCTTCATAGTTGCATTTCCAATGTATGAAATTGATGTAATATGTGGAGGTTGAGAATCTTGAGATATGAATGATTTTAAAATCAACAAATGAATAAGTATTCACACTTGAGGTATGATATTTTGTGTCTTGGAAAAGAGATGTAGTGATCATAGTTTTGGTAAAACAAGGGCAGGGATTAGATTGTCCTTGTAGATTCTTCGGCTGATGTTGTGTTCTTGAATGAACGTATAGTAGTAGCTTGGTACCCATGGATCATGACTTTTGATCTGTTGGCCTAGCTGTGTATGCTTTTTTTTTTTTTTTTAAACATTTGGTGTCACTGTGCATTTTAAGTTGAAATATGCTTGTAGAATATAATAATATTGTAAGTGAACATTCAGGGAATTGACTAACCAAAAGATATTCTTGAGATTAAATGGATTTTATTTTCTATGTACTTGTGATCAGCTACATTCATCCTTTGTCCTTGACCTTAGTTTTTTGTTTTTGGGTTTTAAATCATGGGTTGCATTTCTTAGTTTTCCCTCTGGTGCCTTTGAGACTGGGTGCAATTATTGATCTTTTTGCTTATGAGAAATATATCTTCGTTGACGTTCTCTAAAGTCTTTCTGAGATGCATTCATATTTTAATAATCATCTCTTGTATTTCCATTGCCGCATCTCTTTCGCAAATGCTGGAATTTTTTCCATAAAAAATCATTATGTTCTTGCTGATCAGAATATTTAATTCAGTTTTCTGGAAATTTATTTTTGGTAATCTGAATGGGGTGATTTAAATCAGGTTCTGAATGGTTTCTATGGAAGAAATTGCCGACTAACATGTGAAGTCATAGATCTTTGAACACTTCTCACACTTCCATTTCTTTTCCCCATGTTTTCTGGCAAAAGTGTTTCTTGATTCCATTGAGATCACCAAGAGCCCTTGAAGGATTGTGGTGCACACAACTAGGCTTAGGGCACACATAGTGCTTTATGTTATCTTCGCTTTTTCTTTGCTTCAGCGTCCATGGAAGGTTGTGTCCTCTCCTGTGAAGCTGCAAGTTTTGATCTCTCTAAAACCCCACCTTGTGTTTTGTTTATTTCATTTTTAAAATTTTTAGAAATGGTCATTGGATGTGCAACGATTGATTTCAACCGTTGCAACAATGCATAGCTCATGTGTTTGCATCGATGTTGTAAATTTTGCTTTTACTGCCTCAACCTCACGAGTACCCACGAGCCACTGTTTTTTTTAATAAATAACATGTCATGCACACACACTGTGAAGAGCATGAAAATGATGAAGATGGATTAATGGTTTAACTTCCATAATTATGCATTGTTTTAGAACAAATCGTGTCACAAAGTCCCACCCTAAAAGAGATTTATGTGACAAGCCAAACAGTGAATGAAAAACAACATAATCTATCTCAACTTGAAATGCGTGTTCTCATTTGTTCCTTGGTTAATCTTTGTGTGAGTTGTTGGTGACAAAATGGACAAGAGTTGGATGACGATAAATAATAGGCTGACAAGTAAAGAGTATCAACAAGGGGTGAAGTCATTCCTTGATTTTGCTATGGAAAATTTAGGCGTAGAGGATGACATTAGGTGTCCGTGTGTCGATTGCATTAATGGCACAAAATATATCAAACAAGTTGTGTGGATGCACTTGATCCGAAGAGGAATGCCATCTTCGTATTTAACTTGGGTGCATCATGGGGAACATGTTCCCGTGTCTCGTCCTAGTGCATCAAATGACCAATGTGGAGGTAGTGGCGAATGTATGACAGATATCGATGATCCGCCCATGGATGAGTTGCCTATTATGTTGGAAGAAATTTACGTGAGTGGTCTTATGGATGATCATACCGACGAGGAACCTAATGATTTGGAGAGGGAGGATTTGCATAAGTTCACTAGGTTATTCGAAGATGCACAACGCAAAGTTTACCCAACATGTGAAAAGTTTTCTGTGCTATCATTCGTCATTAAGATGCTTCATCTGAAGGTGTACAACAAATGGAGCAACAAGTCATTCGATATGGTTATGCAGGTATTCAAGGACATTCTACCAGAATGTGATCAAACAGTTCCATGGACACTCTATGATGCTAAGAAGTTCTTACGTGACTTAGGTTTAGGATATGAAACAATTCATTCGTGCAAAAATGATTGTGCACTATTTTGGAAGGAGAGTGGTAATTTGGAGAAATGCCCTACATGTGACACATGTAGATACAAGTTGAACGATGATGGTGGTAAAAAGATTCCACACAAGGTATTACGGTACTTTCCATTGACACCGAGGTTGAAAAGACTGTATATGTCCAAAAAAACAGCCGCAGATATGAGATGGCATAATGAGAAGCGTGTGAATGATGACATATTAAGGCACCCGGCCGATGGTGAAGCATGGAAGGACTTTGATAAGCAACATCCGACGTTTTCTGATGACTCTCAAAATGTAAGGCTAGGGCTGGTAACAGATGGTTTCAATCCATTTGGGAATATGAGCACATCATATAGCATATGGCCCGTAATCTTAATGCCTTACAATCTCCCACCGTGGAAGTGCATGAAAGAGCCATATTGCATCATGTCATTGCTTATTCCCGGACGTTCGGCACCTGGAAGAAACATTGATATTTACTTGCAACCATTAATAGAAGAATTGAAGAATTTGTGGGAGCATGGTGTGCAAACATATGATGCATCGAATGGGCAAATTTTTAGAATGCATGCGGCGGTAATGTGGACCATAAATGACTTCCCTGCGTACGGTAACATGTCAGGGTGGAGTACAAAGGGTTACTTGGCTTGCCCTAATTGTAACAATAATCCATCGTCCCAGGGATTACGAAGTAAAATAAGGTATATGGGTGCTCGTCGCCACTTTCCTGAGAACCACACCTGGCAAACAAGTAAGCTCTTCAATGGTCATACGGAGCATAGGTCCAAACCTTTGGACTTATCGGGGGACCAAATACTAGAGCAAATTGATTCTGGGACTTACAAGCCGTATGGAAAGCACCCACAAAATCGAAAATGACAAAGGAATGAACATCAAAATTTGAATTGGAGCAAGAGAAGCATTATGTTTGACTTGCCCTATTGGAAAACATTGAAGCTTTGACATAATCTTGATGTCATGCATATTGAGAAGAACATATGTGACAATGTTGTTGGGACACTTTTGAGCGTAGATGGAAAGAACAAGGACACGGACAAAGCACGCTTAGATTTGCAGGACATGAAAATACGTAACGAGTTACACTTGAAGAGGCGTTCTAATGGGTCCTTTGAGAAGCCTCCCGCATTGTACACATTATCGGTGAAAGAGAGAGAAGGCTTTTGTGATTTCTTGAAATCAATGAAGTACCCTGATGGCTATGCAGCAAATATCTCCAATTGCGTGACCGCTCAAGCTGGAAAATTATCTGGCCTCAAAAGTCATGACAGTCATGTCCTTATACAACGACTTCTTTCAATTGGGATGCATGGCTACCTTAATATGGAAATCAGAACGACACTTTTTGAGTTGGGAAATCTCTTCAAACAATTGTGTTCAAAGACATTGAGGCGTTCAAATTTGCATAAATTGGATGAACAAAACGTACTCATACTTTGTAAGCTTGAGATGATTTTCCCTCCGGCTTTTTTCGATGTCATGGTCCACTTGGCAATTCACTTGCCTCGAGAGGCTATGCTTGGAGGCCCAGTGCAATATCGATGGATGTACCCAATTGAGAGGTATTAACTTAGCCATCGTATTACTGTCAAATTTTAGTTAACGCTTTACTGCTGATATAAATATTGCAGTATAACATTGCCATCGGCTTGCAAAATTAGGTTGCTTGGCCGTCTAAAAGGGTTTGTGACCAACAAAGCTCATCCTGAAAGTTCTGTTGCCGAGGCTTACATTTCCAAAGAATGTACAACATTTTGTTCAATGTATTTGGATGGAGTTGAAACATTGTTTAACCGCCCAGAAAGGAATTATGACATGGGTGACCGTGGCCCAGGGTTGGCGGTATTCACTTAAACTGTACGTCCCTTTGGTCTAATGACAAGGGCGTCCGATGTGTCCGTAGTTGAACGCAAGTTGGCTCATTGGTTTGTCCTACACAATAGCACAAAAGTGGATAAACACGTAGAGTATGAATCCTTCAAATGTATTTAAAGTGTTTTTGTTGTAAATTGATTAGTCTTTATCTTAGTAAATATTTTTGAATCGCATTTCTTATAACTAGGGAGCACAAGAACTTGTTACACCAAAGAGCCGGTGCGTTCGACATCGAAAACAAACATCGGAAAGAATTTCCTAAATGGTTCAAAGATCATGTAAGTTGGTATTCTCATATCCTATCATAGATCGTACATTATGTAAATGTCACGCATGCTAGTAACATGACACATGTTCTTCATGTAGATGAATGAATTGCTGAGCCAAGTTTCCCCTGAAGCAACTGATAATATGTGGTCATTAGCTAATGGTCCTAGTGGCTTAGTGAACACATATTCAGGATGTATTTGTAATGGTGTCCGTTATCATACTATCGACCGTGACAACCATCGGAAAAGTCAGAATTGTAGATTAGTCGTGGAAGGGGAGCATCAAGGCCAATTGATACACTTCTATGGACACTTGTGCAGAGTGTGGGAACTGAACTATTTGTTCAGACGTCGGATTGTATTGTTCCAATGTGAATGGTTTAACACCGGTAGTAGTAAAACTATGCATGTAGAACCACATTTTACAACAGTTGATGTAACAAGTCGATGGTACAAAGGTGACTCATTCGTATTACCAAGTCAGGTTGAACAAGTATTCTATGTTAATGACACCAAATTAGGTACCAATTGGAGAGTCGTAGAAAAGTTCCAACATCGAGGAATTTGGGATGTGCCAGAGATGGATGTCGTACAACCTGATGATGTGTTCCAACAAGAAGAAACCACCGAGGTGGTACCTACTATGGCTATTGATGATGATGTGGTTTTGCGTCGACATGACATTGAATCTGAAATTATTCCAATGGAAGTGTTGCAATCTGTCAGAGGTGTGATAATGAAGATGGATTAATGAGGGAGGGTGACGACACAGACGAAGAATATGACCTACAAAGTGATTTTGATACAGATGTTGATGTAGAATCTTGATGTATATCATGCTTTAGTGCATGTCATAATTAGAGCAATGTAAATGTTCAACTGGTGCACAAATGCAAAGGAAACTCATTATAATGAAGGGGGATCTATCTTTGTAAATGTCAATATCTTGTGATATAAACCACTATCATGAATGAGTTATTTTTTTTTTATTTTGGAACAATTGGTGCTTGTCAAACTTCTATTATTATGAAAATTCTATAGTTATAATAAGAAAATCTGGAAATCTGAAAATTCTGAAAATCTGAAATCTGGAAATGTGAAATATGGAAATCTGAAAATCTGGAAATTCTTAAAATTCTATGACAAATTCTAAGTTTTGACATTTTCCACATTTTCTAGATTTGCAGATTTGGACAAATTCTATGACAGATTTTACATTCTATGAAAATCAGATTTCCAAAATTCAATAGGTCTGCAAATTCTGGAAATCTAGAAATCTGAAATCTGGAAATCAGGAAAATGTGGAAATCTGAAAATTCTATGACAAATTCTATAGTTTTTTTTTTTTGGGTGAATAAAATTCTATAGTTATAATAAGAAAATCTGGTGCTCGTCAAATAATTTGGTTTTTGTCCAAACCTGAAAATCACCTGGGTCTGTATCTGCAAATCTGAAAATTTGGAAATCACTCTGAAATCTAGAAATCTGAAAAATGTGGAAATCTGCAAAATTCTGAAAATTCTATGACATTCAGTTATGTTTTTGGTTTTTGTTTTTGTTCAATGTGCTGGGTCTGAAAAATGTGAAGGTTTGTTCTGTTTTGAATTTGGAGCTGTGTGGTGGTCTTTAGCAAGTTTTGTTTCTGGTGTTGAGCCAGGAGTTGAGTTTGGCTGTGGTGCAACCCTCCATATGGTGTGATGATTGTATATCAATAGTATGTGGGTCTCAGAAGGTGCAAGCCTCGGACATTACCTGTGGGCCAGGGCATGGAATCAGTTTTGGAAGCTTAGGTTCTGGGAAATCAGTAGGTCATGTATCAGATGTGGTGGTGAATGGAGTCCGGATCAAGACCTGGCAGTCCATTCTTGTGGTTCTGTTGTTGGATGTTAAGCTTCTTGGCTGCTATGCTGCTGGGTTGTTTTGTGCTTGATTTAGATTCTTCTGCTGGTATGCTGGTGCTAGAGTTAGCTTGCCCCTCTATTGTTTGCTTTGCATAGTTTGCTGGTTTACTATGCTGCTGGTCTGAGGCCTGCTCTCAGTATTGGATTGGTTTTGTTCAGTATTGGATTGGTTTTGTTCAGTTCTGTATTTCTGATATAGCGATAACCAAGGTTTCTTTATGGCAGTTGAAGTTTTATGGTTTTATGGCCATCAATCACATAATGGGGCCAAGTCATGTACCTACTAAATGTTTTACTGATATGTGTTGAGTATGATGCATGATATAAAGCTGGTTCTAGAAAAACAAAAGGAAATGCTTTATTCAGTTTTTCTCTGTCATTCCTGAGATCAGATGGAGTATGAGTAACTATGGCAATTTTCAGTGGCTCTGATAAATTATGCTGCTGAGAGAACACAGCAAAATTCATATCCTCTATAATTTTAAAATATTGCATTTTTTAATTTGATCAAAATCTCAAGAGCTGTGATGTAGCAAACTTGATATTGTTAAAATGAATGAGCACTTTGCTATGTCAAAAAACCTTGAGAAAACAATCTTGCATGATTACCAAGTGTGGAATTATGTTACATATCCTGATTCATTTTAGAATGAAAACGAAAGGTGTTTTCATATTCATCACTAGATTAGCTATGTGCTTCCATTGCCTATTAAAATGATTATTTATTTCTAATTTTTGTAGGTATTCTCATCTGATCCAGCTTACAATACCGGAGACCCGCAACTACTTTATAAAAGCACTTACTAGACCTAACCCAGATAACCGCGGCTGTAGGCAACTGCTCTTAAATTCTCGATTCTAACTAAATGCAATGTACAGAAAGCTCTAGATCTCTCTGTTGTTAAGCTAGTGAAGGATCTAATTGGTTGATTGTAGAGGGACCACCGATCACTGTCTTCTGATGCCAGAGTTCTGTTGTTTGTAAACACTGTAAGTCTCTCATGTAGCGTCATTGTCCCGGATTACTGCTGGCTATGACTATCAATGATGTTACTTTGATAGATTTAGATGGTTATATTGACTATAAATGTAATCTCCTGTGGGTTCAAAACTGATGTCGTTAGCTGATGGGCCATGGTTGTTTTTCATTAGCACCTGTTTTTCAGGGTTTATGGTCTAAAAAAGGTAAGGGATCTTATGTTCCCAAATTCAACTATCTCTGCATGCTTGTCCCCGTCTCACACTTTCAGTTGTAAGTACAATATAGTGAATCTCAAGAAAAGATTCTTGAAACACGATCAATTGACTGGCTCAGGATCTTGTTTTTTTTTATCTTTATGTTATTGTCCCAAAATGCTCAAGTCAATGAATCATGTGAGAAATATGTGGTGTAGGAATCTCATGATTCAACGGCTAGGAATAATAGAAATAAAATTCTATTGAGATAGGGAGATAGAGGGAGGAATTTAGGACATCTGATCTTGTGTGGATAATTGAAAGTGCATTGGGACAAAAGAATTTAGTGACAAATTTTAGAATTTTATTTTTTGAATAGAAGCCTTAGGGTCTATAATAAAAAATGAAAAAAAATAAAAGAAATAAAGAAAAAGAAAGAAGTGACCTGTGAAGGATAAATAAAGATGCAAAAGTATTTGCAACAAGTGTGCAAAAGGAATGAGTCGGGTTGCTTAAACTAGCTCGTATGTGCCCAGTTAGAGAGTTTGAGTCATAGATGACCTTGTGATATTCTCCACATCGTCTTATATTCTCCACATCATTGGCATTTTAAAATTTCACTGGGATAGCCCGAATGAGATTTCTTTCTAAAAGTTGATTAGAATGCTCTTGCTCCTTTTTGGCCTCATTTTGCAATTTTCTAACATTAGTTATGGTTTGAATTTGTGCAGGAAGATGCTAAGTTGCTTATTTTATTTTCTTGTTCTTGGTATTGCAACACTGTTAGGGCACAGAGGAAGTGTGAAATCCATCTGTTCTCATCCAACAAACCCTGGTAAGTTGCACTTGTTATTTTCTTGTTCTTGGTATCCTTCTGAGTTTGTTTTTTACTGGTCTGTATGTAGTAGCAGAGGTGAATTTGTTAATTGCAAAGGTCATGACACAGGTGTGTAGTTGTTTATTCTAGTGGATGATTATAAAGATAGCATGCAATGTGGATGGTATTTACAGAAGTGTGTCGTATGTCCACTGCCCTGTGATAGGGAGGTGCAAGGTGGATATGCTATAAATTTTTCTTCAAGTATGACAATATGAGATTGAAATATGCATCAGACTGGGGCTTGCTGCCACTAAATCCCAATAAGTCCAACAATTTGTTTCTTTTGAAAACTACTATAACCTAGAGTGTGCTCCCAATCCATTGTTCATTCATGAGTTTCTTTTGAAAACTACAATTTGTTTCTTTTGCTACCACCTTATTTTCTTTTATTCATCAGTTTATCAGTTTATTTTTCAGTTTATTCATGTGATGTATATTTATCAGGTTATTCATGTGATGTATTTTTATCAGTTTATTCATGTGACACAAATTTAATCCAGAACATAAAACACTGTTCCAGCATCAGGCATCAGGCAGATTGGAAAATGGTTCATGGATTAAAGACTGGTCGGCTTCGAAAAAAGACACTCACGCAGCAAGAAACAGACTCGCCAGCTGCTATTCCTTTAGGATCACCCGTTGCTCCATCTCGTGTTCTCCCCGTCCCATCAAATGTGGGACCATCTCATAATGCCACTAGCCAACCAATGGTTGATTCTGATGAGACACAAGCCCCATCTGAAACGCAGCCGAGTGGCGTAGGTAAGATTAAAGTTGATCAAATGTGTCAATTATCACTTGCCATTGCCATTGTTTTTTTGTACCCAATTTCTAGCCAATTTTCTTGTTGTTATTTTGTTAACAGGGACTTTGAAGCCCCTACCGACACGTGGCAAAGGCATACAAAAAATAATTCGAGCCAAGAAAGGGGAAAAATATTATGTTCACATCGATCGTGGGTTGAATGCAATGACTGGCAAGTATGCCACTCCAGCAACTAACGAGTTAGGAATTCAAATTAGAACCTTGTGCCCTTTGAAAGATGTGAAGTCATGGCTAGATCTTGATGAGACTACAAAAGCTGCCATCATCATCCAAGGAGTTCTTGTAACTAATATTACTTGTCCACAAGATGTAATTGTATTATGTATGCTAATAAAAAGACTATTATTTAATGATTACAATTTCAATTTGTTATGCTTGTATGACAAGTTTCAAATTGGAGACGATTTCCACAATGACTTACAAGCACAAGAGATTATGAATAAGAAGGCCTATGGGTTGTACAAAGATTGGAGGTACACCTTGAAGCAAGAGTTCGAATTGTTAGAGGGACTTCCACGTGATGAGATCTATGCTCATCCGCCCGTAGGGGTGAGTTTAGATAATTGGAACCATTTGATCGATGTGGCATGGCAAGATACATCTCACCAAGTAAAATAATAGACTAGATAGAGTACATACATCTATGTGAAAATGTGATATGCCTTAGTATTTACCAAAAAATTGTTTATCTGTTTGTCTTATTTTTAGAAACGGTCAAAAGTTGGCAAGAGTAATAGGAGTCAATTGCCGTAAAATCATACCAATGGGTCTCGCTCATTTCCTATCGCAATGGCTACTATAGTGAGTTTGATGTTTTTTAAAACTTGAATCCTTTGTAATGTTTGGATATGAAAATGTTATGTTGTGATACATACATATATATATATATATATATATATGTTGAACTCTGTTACTAAACATCTACTATTTGCAAAAAAACTGTGTGGAAAGAATCTGTTAATGATACCCTTGCCAAATGTTTGCATTCAAAATCTGTCCAAGGACTATACTCTGTTTTTCATTCGAAATCTGTCTCGCAAAATCTGACTGGGAAAATCTGTTTCAATTCTGTTTGACAAAATCTGTTTGACAAAATCTGTTTGAATAAATATGACATACAATCTGTTTGCAAAAATCTGTTTGAACTAATCTGAAAAAGTCTGTTTGTAAAAATCTGTTTCAATTGTGTTTGGAAAATTCTGTTAGTGATACTCTGATTGGTCTGTTTCAATCCGTTTGTAAAAATCTGTTTCAATTCTGTTTCAACAGATTTTTAGAAAGTCAACACATGTTAGAATACACATAATCTGAAGTGGTTATAAGTGGCTATCTGCGAAAATCTGTTTGCAAAAACCTGTTGGACAGAATCTATTTGACAAAATATGAAAAATGTGTTCGCAAAAATCTGTTGGAACATCTGCATTAAGTCCTCCGCTGCTGTCTTGAATAGTATGGTGTTGAATAGTCTGGTCTGTTCTGCCTGTCTCTGATCTACTAGTGGTTATGCAATGTGCTATAGTTGGGTTGGTGTGCCTTGGCTGGTTGGTCATCTATGAATGTTTTCTGGTGTGCATTGTCTGGTATGCTCTGAACTGGGTTGCTACAGCTGGGTTGTTGTGCCATGGTTGGTTAGTATGGCTGGTAAGACATCTCAGATGTATGGGATTCTGATGGTCATGTATGAATGCTTCCTGAGTTCCACTTCTGCAGACTTCTGTGACATCTTGGTTGATCCAGCAGTGGTCATTTTGCAGTGGTCATTTTGAAAAAATCTACAAAAGATCTGTCTGGAAAATATAATTCTTTTAATGATAATCTTATTGAATTCGAACTCTGTATAAACTACAAATCTGTTTGCAACAAATTTCCAAATCTGTCTCCAAATCTGTCCAGACATTTGTTTACAAAGCTTTTAATGAAAATTTGTCTATACATATCTGTCTGCAAAGAAATATGTCTAAACTACTAATCTGTCTGCAAAAACTCTGTTATCATACAAATCTGTCTGCAAAAATCTGCAACAAATCTGTCTGCAAAAATCATTGATTTATACGTTGATGTGTTAACAGGTAGCAAAAAATGGAGAGTTGGATTTCCCAAAGTTCTATGAGGACAGCCACACTTCAAAGAAAACGAATGATTGGATCCATCCAAAATGTCGTGAGTTGCATGTAAGTATGTGACAAGTATGTATTCAATATTTTCTTGTACTTAGTACCCAGTAATACATATATGTTGCCAAAGTATTTTTCGACTTATTTATTTGCAATGATAGCAAGAGATGGTCAATGTACAAGCGGCTGTCATCGAGTCGGGGACGCCATTGACACAGGAGGAGATTTCAATGTAAGTGCTTGGACAGAAGAAAAGGTACTTGCTTGGATTTGGGAGTGGCCCACAACCCTCTACCATATTCGCATCACGAGCACATGATAAGGACATGGAGGCAATACGAGCTGAGGTGGAGGCACTTCGTGAGGAGCGACAAAAAGATCATGACGAGTTAATGAAAGAGCGAGAGGAGCGCGAGAGATGTTACAATGAACTGTTGAAAGAACGAGAGAAGCGCATTCAATTATCCAATGAGATGTTAAAAGAGCGGGAGGAGGGACAAAAGGCAAGGGAGGAGACAAATGCAAAGGTCGAGCATCTTAATAACGTAGTTGCCAAACTGTCACAACTCTTGGGAATCTAAGTTGGGCATCCGACGTTTGCTTTTTGGTAAGAACAATTTCATTAATGTCACACTTACTTTGTTTAAATATGTTCGCTTTAAGAGTTGAAAATGTCATCATGGGAGTTAGGGTTGAAAATGTCACAAACATAGTCGAAAAAAAGGCGTTCGGGGGCCGAAAATGCAAAACTACCCCCAAACCACTATTTTTTCATAACGGGAAGTTTCCCGGTGATAAATGTGACATGTAGGGACAGACGGTATGTAAGTAGGACACATAAGTTGGGAGTTAGGGTTGATAATGTCATAAACTTAGTCGAAAAAAGGGGTTCGGAGGGCGAAAATGCAAAACTGCCCCCGAGCCACTGTTTTTTCGTAACGGGAAGCTTCGCGGTGATAAATGTGACATGTAGGGACATACGGTACAAAAATAGGACACCTACGTTGTGAGTTAGAGTTGAAAATGTCATAAACTTGTTTCTTAATTGCCAACCCTGTAATCATGCTGTAATGCCATCTTATCCAACAACTTAAAACCTTATTTATTTATTTTTTTGTGTGTGTTAATTGGTTCATTTATCTATTTATATTTGCCATGCTTGGTTTATTTATTAATTGGATTAAATCATAAATTAAGCACCTGAGATTCACTAGTCTTTATTAATACATATTGAAACAACTTTCCATCATGTAAAAACAAAGATATGGGCTTAGTTGTGGTCTGTGTACACATTGTAATTGTTTTTTTTCTTTTTATGTGATGTTATTCATTGGTAGTAAAAATATTCTATAATTTTAGTTTATATAGACTCTGTATGTCTATGTTTATTCTGTATGTATTTGCTTGAAGTTCAACTATAAGTATTTTCCAACATCAATAATGGGAACATAATAACTAATACTTGTATGCAACTTTACTTTTGGCCTTTTTTGGAGTATTCAAATGAAGAAATGTGGGTGACATTATAGGGATACATATCAGCTAAGGTGTTAATAGAGTATTATTTTATTCTCTGTTTTTTTGTTAATTTGCTGCTGGGTGAGTTTTATATATTGATATATGTTCTACTTCTTAATTTTTTGAATTTCTTTAAGCCAATAAACCCGATTGAAGAAGCCTAATTGTTCTCTTCGGTTGTCCAATGACTACTGTTTTCATGAACTGCCCTTAACTCTTGGCTCTTTATTTTCTGCACTTCTTTAAGCTTCTTAATGTCCTTAATTTCCCACAATAAAAATTGAACAAGACTAGTCAATCTCTCCATTTGTCCTACGACTGCTATGTTGATGAAGAACAACCCCAAACTCATGGCCTTGTGCTACTAAGCTGTAAAGCTTTACCTAGTTTATACACCAAAGCAAATCCTACAGCTTCATGTATTTTCACCAACCAACGTAACAACATAAACTTATTACAATCAGCCTTAAGATGGCCTTTTAACCACTGCCCTGAACCATAGTTACCAAATCTTGTACTAGAGGGTATCTTTGTTTTCATACTACACCTGGTAGAAGGCACAGTTCTTTAGTCGTGTAAAAGTTGTGATTTGTGAAGTTCTAGTCTCAATGATGAGCTCGGTGTGGAATTTGATTCTCTCTTCCTTTCTCCATAGGTTAAAAACTAAAAGTAAATAAAAATAAAAAAACACAAAAAAAGAAACCAAGCCCTATGTAGTTCCCTTCACCCATGCACTGTGGTTTTTCTTGGTGGTTGGGACATGCCTTGAATCAATGCTGCAGGTGGCTTTGAAAGTACTGCTTTAGAGTCAACTACTAACCTTGGGAGTTATTGATGTTATTATTAATAACAAACTAGGTGTTTACTTAATTAGATTGAACTTACTTAGCAGTGTGCTTTATTAATCTTCTCTGATGTATTAATATCTGTTGTTGTGGGGTGAGCATCTGTAGAACATGTATATATATATATATTGGTTTTTAACTTAATTGAGGGCGTAATGGTTTCATGTGAATGGTTGCATACAGCTCAGTTATTAGCTGATATTGAAATTGTACTTGATAAAGAAATCTATTAGCTACGGATTTGTGAAGGTGGTTTTTAGCTTGATATCTCAAAATATGGTGACTTCTCGATCGAGAATGAGGATATATATATTCTGACCTGTTTGTTTGATCATGACTTTGATTGCATATGCCATGTTTGGTCTTTGATTTTCTAGGCATTATGATATAACTGGGCCCATATGCCTTTTAACCAGGAAACTTTTGTGTTTAACTTAACCATTTATTGCATAAGAGAAATATTGCTTCTTATGCAATGTGAAAGAGCTTATACTTGCATTATATTCTCATTCAAAGATTTATATATTGACCTGAGCTCTTGGATGAGAACTTATATGAAAATTATTTGGTTTTGCTGGGTTGTTTATTTTGCTTGATAATTTCAATTTGGGAAAGAGCTTATGGTTTATTTTTGTTTTAAAAACTCAATTTTATTTCCCTCTTTCCAGCTGGGAATCTAGGAAATTGAAATATTCAGAAGTTTCAAAAACTCATTTTACTCTTGGTTTCCATTTTGATATCTGGTAAAATGAAAAAGTCAGATGATCAAGAATGCTGCTGTTATTGGTTCTCTTTTCTTTTCTTTTCTTTTTTCATACATTCTCGGTTTTTTTTTCATTCTCCCTTTTGATGGATCCACTACTTTTGAAAATGTGAAAATTGTTTTATTTTACTTATTTTTTCCCCTCCCACTACTGTTCCTTGAAAAGTTTTCAATGTACTTTTTTTCTAAAATTGTTCTTAATGCAATGAATTAAAATTGTTCTGTGCGACTCATTTGAATCAGAAATACTGACATAATTGAACTTATTGATAAAGAGTCTTGTACGCTTCGTTTTAGTTGATTAAGGTGTGTGGGTGTGTGGATCTCTGAGAACTCTCAGGTATCACTTGTGTGTGTGCACGCATGTTGTTGTTGCCGCCTTATTATTTTGAGGAGCTTTTGTGTGGCGATGCTTTTAGATAATGTTAGGAATACTAAATTTTCTACAAAATAAATGACTAAATATAGCATTTTTCGATGCTTTTTTGACTAGAGTTGTTCCAAACTGCTGACATGTTTGATGATGTTGGGATGTCAAAATACTTAATTTTTTGCTGAAGGTG